TGAGACTAACTATGTATAGTATTGAAAAAAAATATTCTCAAAAGGAAAAGACTTATTCAAATCAGATCTATTCATGAAATTTTAATCAATATCTTCTATCATGTAAGTTATTTTATTTTTCAGAAATTAAAATAAAATTGTAAAAATCTATTAATGAAATAAATGTTGTTCTGGGTTGATATGTAATCAAAACTAATTAATATATTAGAAGATTTTATTTAACAAAGATAAATAAAAACAAAATATATAATCTTTAATAAACAATGATTATATAAATATAGAAGAAATTATATCCAAAGACGAAATCTTGATGATTTAACATCCACTTGGCTATGAGAAAAACATTTTTTAATCATAGAACAATATACTTGAACTTTTTCACGATCAATTTTTCCATGAATATCAAGAAAAACAAGTTGTTTTAATGTTTCAATTAATTGACAAAGATCTTTTTCAAAAACATTTACATGTTCAGCTAAAAATAAAATAAAGAAAAATTTTTTTTTCTATTCAGTCTACTATTTTTATTTCCATACCAATCGATTCAGATGTTGATAAAGATTCTACCCATTGTGAAACACCAATATAATGAAAGTATCCTGGTATAATATTGGGTCGAACTAAAAATAAAAAGAATAATAATATGATTTTATATTATGGGTAATTTCTTCAATTAGAAATTATTTTATTTTATTTAACAAAACATAATTATATTCTTTACTTTAAATTCTGGGTAGCATTTTAACTTTATTTTACTTTGAATTCTGTTTAATAACATAGGAATGTTTAATCCCTTTTTCAGATTAATATAAGATATAATTCTCGTATTAATAAATACAACATTACACATGACAACAGCTTCCAATATTTATTTATAACAGTGCGGTTAGGGATGTACCAAGCCCAACCCTTTCAGTCTTGGTACATCACGAAGTACGAATTTAGAAATTTTTGAAAAGGTAGAGAGGGAAAGAGAATGTAGATAAGAGCAAAATGTAACGTTTTCAAGAAAAATCACTAGCAAGAAAATGTGAGTTCAGCCAGAAAGGCGAGGGAGGTGTGTGATTGTATTCTCGTTCCATCTTTGGATGCGCTACTGATTTACAATAAAAGAACTATTATCGGAAAACATAAGAGACGAGGCAAAAATATATAGAAAATAGCATCTTGTAGGTGCTAATGAACGATAAGAGAAAATCGCTTATGGAGTATCAAATGAAAGAAAAAATTTATAGAATAGAATAAAGGAATCAATCAATGAATCTTCGTCGAGAGTTTTAACGTAAAGAGAACAAATTAAAATGTACTATCTTTTTATGAAAATCGTATTCAAATGGCATTTGCTTGTCAATTTGATGTAAATCTAATTTCTTATTTCGACTTTGTCTTATACAGATAGAGATGTGCAAGACTAAGTGATAAAACTATATTGATATCAAACCAAAGATTAGAATTAGATATTTGATTTATGTTTTAAATGAATTATCTCATAGTCCTGACTGATTAAAGTAAAATTTAAAAATGTATCATTTGTTGAGTAAATGAATCGAATAATGACAGTTTAAAAGGTATTTAGGCATACTTTAAGATAATCTTCTTAAAATTGAGAATTCGAGACTATAAGAAAAGAAGTTATCAAGATAAAAATAAAAAGAACTCGATTTGACATATGTTTGGATCTACAAAATAATAAAGACGAAAAACACACAAAGAAAGGGGAAAAGAAAGAAGATGGATCATCTAACAATCAACAACTTTTTTTTCTGTTAATTTATTGAAATTAGATTTTCGTTTAAAATAAACTTACTAGATGTCCAAGGAAAATCATCTGGTCGCCAAAGACGTAATATTTGTAAATGAGGCATATAAGTACTGAGAAAAGGTACAAGATTTTTACCAATATGAATCGATTCATTGGAACCATAATGACAACTGGGAATACCAAATTCAGCACATTGAACAGTACTCAGTGCTTTTTCTTTTAAATCATTTGATGCCTACAAAATAAAAGAAAAAATATATGAATATATTTTACAAAATTAGAAATATTTTTAAATTAATTGATTTAATAAATTAGAGATCCAATGAATAATTAACATAAAGAGCAAAAATTGAATAATTGTTTGACTTTTTCATTTATATAAAAATCTTCGCTTAAGTATTATGGTCGTTTTCTAATTATTACGGTGTGAATGTGAGCAGAAGATAAGCACTGACATCCCCGATCAGGAAGGACAAACTCGAGAATTCCTCTCTCCCTAAATTTTTCTTTCATTCTGTCTTTCTTTCTGAAAATTTTCTGTTACGAACAGTGAATAATTATGAATCTTTCGGTAGACTAAATAAATTATGCAAAAGGGACCTAGCTATATTCTCTTACATCGAAAACTGTCTCTTAATATTACAATGAGAACTAGTTGATATTTCATCAAGCGATACAATCTACTCAATAGTTCAAGGAAAATGAATCAGTTTCAAAGAGAAACTGGATCGAAAGCATGGTTCGGTCGTCAACATACCGTAGTGTGCAAAAAAAATTGCCGGTAGAGTTTTGAAAAAAAATTCTCCTGCTGAAAACAAAGGAATGCGGGTACTTTTTAATTAATAGATTATACACATATGCTATAGTTGTAGACTATAGCAATTATTAAAACCTTCGCTCTTTCTTGAGGTTCTGTGGATGCAGATGATTAACTTCTCTTCGTCCAGTTGTGACCCCACATTATCAAAGTAAGATCAAACATATAATAGATACTTACATATTGAACAATATGAAAAATCCATTCAATATTTTCAACTAGAAGATATTTAAGTTGAACAGGCATTGAAATAAGATGAGCAAATACTTTTGCACGTGCTTTATTCAGATTGATTGATGTCTTACAACTTCCTGAAAAAATAATTTTATTTTTTAATTAAAAAAAATCTAATTAAATCTTAAATTCATGTTATTTTATTATTCAATCAATGAATATCAATTTTTTTTTTCTGTTTTTCTTTGTTTTGATTAGTATGATTTATTCGAGAATTTGTTTATTATAGTGCTGTTCACATCTAAAGGTCATTCTTTCTTTAATACTTCACGACGATTGATATAGATATCCAATATTATGATTGATGCAATATTTTGGTTTGAAGAACTCTTTACCTTTGAAAGATTTAAAAAGGAATTTCTTTTATATATGCATTAAAGGCTCCCTCAAAATAATTGTTTTCAAAAAACCATACTTTTCAAGGTAAACATGCAGGCAGGGCCCGCGCGAAAGTCCCAGGATTGCGACGGGGGATGTAAGAGTCCTGAGATAGGCAAATTGGGAGAAAGAAAATCTTTTCGTGTCAGACCTAATGATAATTTTTCTCGTGCAACCTGAAATGCAACAATTTCTCGCAGAGCGAAAATTTTTTGCAACCTTCTTACAAAATTCGTCATACTTCTACTGCTGAAGGCGGTCACGCTGGCGATGATTGTTCTCAACTAGGCTATTTCGAGGGAAAATTGGACTAAAGTTAGAAGTTTTTCTAAGTTAACTGAGGTCATGCAGCTGTTATTTTTCGTGAACCAAAAACTTTTCTCATGTCAGACACCTGAAAAGCTTCTTTTCCTTATTGTTCGCGAAAGCAAAAAGTGTTGCAATAAATCTCAGCAATTTTCCCGCCGAAGATGGCCGCGCTAATGACAACTGCTCGCAAAAAAAGTTGCTCAGGAGACAGGAAGTAGTAAAGTATTCCATAAAACAGAAAGATCATAGTTATTTTCAAGGCGAGGCGGCCCATACGGTTACTTCTATGTGCAGCGAAAAGTTTTAATATTTAAAAATTTTCTAGCAAAAATCATCGTTTAAGCCAGAGTTTTGAGTAAAAAAACAGCTAATTTCTGCAACTTGCCATAGAACTTCATGCTTTTCGTCGATATCTCAACGATAGTTGTCGATTATTATAGAAATATCATTCCCTGAGTTCTCTATGATAAAAGAAAGTTTTGTTATGACTGTGATTCATGCATTTCTAGAAATTATCAAAGTTCGATAGAGAAAAGTCTTTATAGCCCTTATTAATTCGTATGGATAAACCCCATTTTTGATAGGCTTTCATTTGGTATAAAATTCAATGTTGATATCATTCGTCGTTGGAACTGTAACCCGCGAGCAAAACATTTTTGGCAACCCTGTACATTTTGTCCCTGTAATAGCTAGCGTCACCAAAGTTCCCATGGCATACCCCTTGGTCCAGAGAAAGGCTGAGACAAGGCCGGTGCCAGCAACAATGGTGGGAAGAGGAGTTTGGGTGAAATTCCCCACAGGCTATGATATACTTCAATTTTCACCAGTCTTTCAAAAGTTTCAGAGAATTTGCTACGATTGTTAGAATATCCACCTCTTACTGTTACTTTTTTTTGCACTGAATGTTGTTGTGAGGTATGGCAATGGACATGAGTGAAGAGAAAGACACTTATACACACACTATTTGTTGAATTATCGTATTTAAGCATGGATGTAAAGGTCTGCACGGCGGGACATGTAGTGGTAATAGATGGAAAGCTCTCAAGTACACCCTCTCTACATCTTCTGTCGTTTTCTGACATGTTAAGTTTTCAGTGTGTTGATTTCCCGAGCAACGCCGGGTACTACCGCTAGTCCTTGATATTTATATACTAGATTAAAATTAGACTGTACCCTTACTTAATTTAAAAGAAAAAGAAATAAATTAACACTTACCAATCATACGACTATAACAAAAGCCCAAATTAAGTCTTGTCACATTTTGAAATTGAATAACAGTCACTTTACGTTGTCCTATTTCGAACGGTATTCTTAATGACATAGACACACTTGTCTGATTAAGATCTGCATACGATTCTATAGAAAAAAATAAATATGATTTTTCTTTAAATCTATCGTTGAATTTTGTTAGACAGAAGGATAAATCGCTCTTAAGCATTCGAAATAAGCGAATACTCAGCAAGTGTTTGAGAACGTCTCTTAGTTTGAGATGAGTTCATTGAAGACAAGAAAGGTACAATGTGGGTAAAACTGAATGATATTTTATCTAAATATCTATCGTTTTAATCTCTCAGAACATACAATAGTCATAGTGTGTGCTTACGTAGTTTTTGGAAGCAGATTTGATCAACAAATTGAAATTGAAAATGTGATCAATTTATACGGTCAGAAACAGAAAAGTCTTAGCTACACACTAGTTGTTAAAAATGGCTAGTATTTATTTGAGCAATTTAAAAATTGAAGTGAGCAATAATTAAAAATACGAATTAGCAATAATTCTTGAGCAATAAAAAAATATTTTTGAGCAATTTTATATTACGAAATGAATAATAATTAATTCATTAAACTGCAGTAATAAATATATATTTGAGCAAGAATAAATTTACATATTAGCAGGAAAAAAATTTATATTTTAATAATAAAAAAATTACTGTTTGACCAAAGCTTTTTTAGCTTTAGACGGTCTGCCTCGCTTTCTTTTTGCACCAATTGCTACATTTTTTGCCTCTGGTGGAGCTTTGCAATATTTCAGTCTTATAGACAGCCCAATGATATGCTTACAGAAGTAATTTTTCAGGAATGATAGGCAAGTGCAAGTTCCTTTTCTCCACTCTGCAACATTGTTCGACAAACATACACACCATATTTTGAAGTAAACAGACTTGTATGTGTCAAATAAATTAAACCTACAAGTCCCATATGGTTTTGTATATTTGTTAACGGACAAACCGATCTCACTAATAAAACATAAAGGAGGTGGTCAAAAATGAAGGATTTTCCCACACGCTGGAAATGATACAAAACGAAAGTACTCGACGAGTAAATCACTGATTCAATGTCCGTTTGTCAAGATCTTGTCCCTTTTTCTCTAGTGTTTTGGGATACTGACTCCACCAGTCAGATAGAGACCTAGGTATTTGCCACTTTAGACAACACCCGAAAAAAAGGGACAAGATCTTGACAAATGGACATTGAATCAGTGATTTATTCGTCGAGTACTTTCGTTTTATATCATTTCCAGCATGGAGAAACATCCTTCATTTTTGACTATCCCCTTTCTCTTTTATTTTATCAATGGTGGCAATATATATAGTGAATAAATGAGAGAGAAAAATCCAAAATGATTTGGAAATTAACATGAAACGCGAGGGAAAAATCTCGGAAACACATAAAGAGATGAGAGCGGTTGGAAAAAACCAAGAGATGGAAGAAAATAAAGATTATATGTACATGTTAGAGGTTAATTGAAATCATCCTCTTCATTTCACATATATCTTCTCTTTCTGTTCTCTTCACGTATGTACACATATGGTTTTTTCCCTTCCTTCACATATCGTCTTTTCCCTGTTATCTGTACGATATAGTAGAACAAAAGAAAGACAAAGAATCAGGCCATATTACCCATCCTATGTAACATTTACCTTTAGTTTTAATAAATTATTGTTTAGTTTGTTTAATTATTGCTCAATTATTATAGTTATTGCTAAGTCAATATAATTATTGCTAAGTCAATTTTATTACCGCTAAACTTGATCATTGCTCCTCCATATTATTTTATTGCGCAATTAAATTTTAGTCGTTAAAAATTATTCTCATTCAATTTAAATTTTGAGACAGGGGACCTCATTTTAATAAGTAGATGACGCCAAAAATCAGTCATTTTTCACTTTTTTTGTTCATAATCCAGAAGCAATACAAAGAAGAAAAGATTTCAAATTTTTATAGTAACTAGCAGGGCTCGAAACGGGCCTCATTTTTATGGCCCAGCCCGGCCCAACGCGGCCCAGCTAAAGTGGTGGCCCGCCCGGCCCGTTCTAATTTTAGTGCGGCCCGGCCCGAGCCCGCCCTTGGAT